TTTGTTGATGGGCACTTAGGTTGTTTCCAACCCCTTGCTATTGTGAACAAAGCCACGATAAACATGGATGTACATATGTCTGCTTGGATGTCAGTTATGGTCTCTTTGGTTATATTCCCAGTAGTGGAATTTCTGGGTCAAATGGTATTTCCATTTGCAACTTTTTCAGAAAGCACCATACCACCTTCCACAGTGGTTGCACCATTTTACACTTCCACCAGCAGCATTTGTTGCTTGCTGCTCTGTTAAATTTAGCTATTCTTACTGGGGTGAGATGATATCTCATAGTTGTTTTGATTTGCATCTCTCTTAGAGCTATGGATTTTGAACATTTGTTCATGTGTTTGTTAGCCATCTGAATGTCTTCTTTGATGAAGTGTCTGTTCATATCCTGTGCCCATTTTTCTGTTGGATTATTTACCTTTATCTTCTTGTGGTACTCAAGTATTTGATAAATTCTGGATATAAGTCCCTTATCTGATATGTCATTACCAAACACTTCTCCCCCCCCCATGTATTTATTAAGAAGGGAGATTTGTTGGCTTAGTGTTAAGGAGTTGCACTGCCAATCCAAAGCTATGTAGTTTGAATTGACCAGTTAGATGAGCAGTCTTCTGTGTGATTTTCTGCCTCTAAAAACCCACTTAAAGGTCAGCAGTGAGTCGTTCTGACTCAATGTTACACAACAACAATCCCTTAAAAGGGGGGAAAAATATTATGAGTTCCTAGAGAGAAAAACAGCCTCATGAGAGTGTTTCAGCTTGTTCTGTTACCAAAACAGTTATCTTGAAACAAAGTAAACTGAACAGAGAAAACTGAATGGTAGAAGCTGCTAGCACAGTCCATTGTCTGTTTTATTGCTAGCTAAAAATAGAATGGATTTGTCTTTTCACTTTGATATTTAGAAACTCATACCACAAGACTCACTTTTGATTGGAATACTACTTAAAACTGAGCTGAGTTCAATGGTGTACTTGTTACTCCAAGTTCTCTTTGTTGCTTTGAGAGAAAACTATTAAAGCAAAGGCAATTTGAATAATTCTTTTCTAAAACACTTTTTTTGTGTAGAGAGTTTATCTTGCCATTTTGTATGTTTTATCATTTTACAAGTGTTAGCAAATTTACTAATTAGAGAATTGAGGAAAATTTTCTTTACATTGGATAAAAGATAAGCCTGTAACTGGGAAGGCATGAGAAAATTTAAATGATGTACTCTAGTGTTCATTATAATCACACGGAACTAAGAAGCAGTCCTTAAAGAAAGCAAGGAAACACTGCATGGTTCAAAATCAGAAAAGGAGTGCGTCAGGGATGTGTCTTGTCTCCATACCTTTTCAGTGTATATGCAGAACAGATTATTTTGGAGGCTGGGCTTTATGAGGAGAAATATGGCATCAGGATTGGAAAAGGACTCATCAGCAACCTCTGTCATGAAGATGACACAACCTTGCTTGCTAAAACAGAAGAGAACCTGAAGTACTTGCTGCAGAAGGTCAAGGACTGTAGTCTTCAATATGAATTGAAGCTCAACATTAAGACAAAGATTTTCACCACTGGGCCAATTGGCAGCACCATATTAGATGGAGAAGAGATTGAGGTTGTTAACATTACAGCTTGCTCAGCTCCACAATCAGTACTCTTGGCATTTCAGTCAGGAAATCAAAAGATTAATTATATTGGGGAAAATCTGCTGTCAGGGATCTTTACAGAGCACTGAGAAGCAAAGATACCAGTCTGCAGACTAAGGTGCACCTGTCCAGGCTGTGTACCAGAGAGCTGGACAGAAGAAGAATCAATGCCTTTGAGTTTTGGTGCAGGAGTAGAGTCTGGAACATACCATGGACCGCCAAGAAAATAAGTTTGTCTTAAAGAGGGTGAAACCAAGTTTCTCCTTTGAGGCTAGGGTTTTGAAGCTCCATCTCACCTACTTTGGACACATGGTCAGGAGGGATCAGTCCTTAGAGAAGGGCATTATGCATTATGCTTGGAAGGGTGGAGGGACAGCACAGGAGAGGAAGAGCTTGGATGAGATGGATTGGTAACAGTAACTAGGGGGGAGGTAGGTGTGTCCGAGTCAATGAGACTGTCTCAGGACAGGGCAGGCTTCAGAGCTGTTTTACGTAGGGTCCCTAAGACTCTCAGGTTACTCTATGGCACATAACACAACAACAACTCTAATGTCACTTTTTAAATCCAATTAGAAGCAGTGAAAACAGGTTACCGTATATTGCTCTCTTACTGGTTTTCACCAAATAATATTGTTACATCCTGAAAGTTTAATTTTAATTGTAAAAGAAGTAGCCACAGCCTTTCATTAAAATATGCAGTCTTTTTTTTTTTTTTTTTTAAATATGCAGTCTTAAAACGTGGCCTGTTAAAATCTCATACTCTGTCACACATATCCTGAAAGGAAGCTCTCATGGTTTAGTGGTAAGGAGGTGTGCTGCCAACCTAACGGCACACAGTTTGACTCCACTAGCTGCTCTTTGGAAGAAAGATGGGCAGTCAGTCACCTGCCGTGCGATTTACTGCCTGTGAAAACCCCCTGGAGGATCATCAATGAGTTGGTTCCAAGTAGACATTATGTAACAACAATCTTAATATTTATTGATAAAGACTAATTTTGTATTAATGATACGTCCTCTTGCTTGTTCTCTAGGGAATGTATGTGTTTCTGCATGCGGTGAAAGGAACACCTTTTGAAACTCCTGACCAGGGTAAAGCAAGACTCCTAACTCACTGGGAACAACTTGACTATGGAGTACAGTTTACATCTTCACGGAAGTTTTTCACAATTTCTCCAATAGTTCTGTAAGTGGTATAAATTTTAGTTATAAAGAGGAATGGATGCAAAGAAGGCATTTTTTTATCTGACTGAATTTGCATTAGAATATTTTCTTAACAAACCTTGACCTCGGTATGTAGTGACTAATAAAGTAAACTAATTTTCATTTCAATTAATATAGCACCATTATATGCTAGACATTTTTAAGCAATATATGTATATTCCAATTCCTGTCTTTACGTTGCTTGTAAGAAAAGTAAACTCATAATATGTTTCCCACTAGAACGTCATTGATCAGTTACCACCAGTCACAAGAATGTTCAAATTTCTTGTGAGAGACAGTAGGAGTTATAGAAAAAAGAAGGCACTATTTCATTATAGGATAGACGTGGGCTAAATCTTACCTGTCACACCGCCAGGTTAGATTGTTCCTATGTGAAAATTGAGCTAATAATCATGCAAAACCTTTATCTAGACCAGGGAGCCAGTGTCCAAACAGAGCAAAGAAACACTGCATGGTTCAAAATAACGAAAGTAGTGTATCAAGGATGTATCCTTCCTCCATACCTTTTCAATCCATATGCACTACACATCATTTGAAAGGATAGACTTTATGAAGAAGAATGAGACATCAGGAAGGATTGGAGGAAGACTCATCCATAGCCTACGTTGTGCAGATGACACAACCTTGCTCCCCGAAACTGAAGAGGACTTGAAAGTCAAAGACTGCAATCTTCAGTGTGAATTGCATCTAAACAGCAAGAAAACAACGATGCTTACCACGAAGCCAGTAGACAGAACCATGATAGATGGAGAAAGAATTGAGGTTGTTAATGATTTCATCTTCCTGGATCCACAGTCAGCAATCTTGGCACCATCTGTCAGGAATTCAAAAGACGAGATGCATTGGGGAAAATTTGCTGTCAAGGATCTCTCTAGAGTGCTAAAGAGCAACAGTATCAGTTTAAAGGGAAAGATATACCTTATCCAGGCCTTGGTCTTCTCAGTTGCTTGCTGTTGCCTCTGAGAGCTGGACAGTGACTAAGGATGACAGAAAAAGAATTGATGCCTTTGAGTTGTGGCACTGGCGAATAGTACTGAACAGACCCTAGACTGCCAAGAAAACAAACAGGTATGACCTGGAGAGAGTGAAACCAGTTTGCTCCTTGGAGGCAAAGATTTTGAAGCTCCATCTCACATACTTTGGGTATGTCACTAGGAGGGACCAGTCCTTGGAGAAGAACATCATGATTGGAAGAGTGGAGGGACAGTGCAGAAGAAGACCCTGGATGAGATGGGTTGACACAGAGACAATGAGGGCAAGTGTGTGGGAGCTGGAGAGGTTAACGCAGGAAAGGACAAGATTCAGAGTCATTATTCATAGGGTCGCTTGGAGCTCTTGTTGCCTCGATGGCACATAACAACAACAATGCTGATACTTTAAGAAATAAATATCTTTCCGAATATGCTTGGCTACTAATTGAAAGGTTGGCAGTTCACATCTATCCAGAGATATCTCAGAAGAAAGACCCATTCACCTGCTTTTGAAAACTTAACCATTAGAAACATTGCCTTGTTGGCAATTTGTGCAAAGCATTTAACTTTGTATGATTGCCTTCTTGATATTTGTGCCCTCCACTAAGTGGTTCTTAACTCAGTTTTATGTTTAATATTTTATCCCCTCCTGACTCCTATCTGGTGAAGCTCTTTTTAGTAGCATTTCTTTAACATTTCCTGTATAGTACTATTTTTGTACCTTTGTTCAAATAACTTCTTCTACTTAAAATATCTCATTTTTTAATAGTTAGCCATCTGTATCAATGAATTTTATATTCACAGATTCAACCAACCAAGGTATGAAAAGAAAATATTAATTAAAAAGGAAAATATTAAAGTTGGGGGAGGAGTGGTCAAAGCAATCCTTCTAAGATTAAGAGAACTTAAACACATACATAGTGCTCCCTAGTGGCAAATATGGCAAAACTTCATCTCATGTACTTTGGGCAGGAGAAACTGTTCATTGGAAAGGGACATCTTGCTTGGAAAGGTGGAGGGTCAGTGAAAGAGAGTTAAGACCTTTAACAAGATAGATTGACCTCCAGTGATAGCAGCAATGAGCATGTGTCATAGATGAAGAGGATAACAAAGGATGGGACAGGGTTTAGATCCTATTGTTCATAGAATCCTTATGAGTTGTATTTGACTCACTGGCATCTAATAATAACAACAATAACAGCAAAGTGCTCTTTATGTAGCATTTACATTATAAGTAATCTAGAGATGATTTAAAGTAGAGAGGAAGAGGTTATATGGGAGAGATCCATACATAGGTTTTATTAATGTACTACAGTTTTATATAAGGGACTTGATGGCACTTGCATCATGTTATCTTCCAGGGTTCCTGGAATCAGTTTCCCCGTAGATACAGTAGGAAAACTATGTCTGTGTTTTACTCTTCATTCAAGATTTAAGTAATTCTTTCTCACTGACATTGTTTCTTTAACACTCAACCTTCAGTGGTAATACCTTGATTTCTTGTAGTATTACGTATACCTCATTGAGGCAGCTTTGTACAATTTATTTTATTATAAATACTATTATATCTACAAAGAGTTCATGAATACTTAGATTGCTTTAAATCTTAAACTCAGTAAACTTACATCATAGATGTATTTCACATGTTTTAAACACTGTATCAAAATGGCTTATACAAATAATATACCCATGATATCACTGGTGCATTCTAGAGTATTTGGAAAGCCATGTTGGTGCTGTTGTAATCCTTTAAACTGGACTTTAAAGGGTAAATTTTGGATAGATGATGACGCATAATGGAATGTATTTTTAAAATGACTGAAGCAATTAATCATAAAGTTGTAGGCTTTTCCATTTGATTTAGTTTTTGAGCATATTTAAAAAAATTTAATTGGCAGGGCACTTGTAAAATTAACTTAAAAAAAATTATCACTATGGTCTAACAAGGGAGCTCTGGTGGCTAATGGTGAGAGGCTGCACTGCAGTCTCACAGGCACAAGGTTTGAATCCACCAGCTGCTCCACGAGAAAAGAATGGGCAATCTCCTATGTGATTTACTGCCTCTGAAAACCCACTGGAGCTGTAAGTTTGTTCTGACTTGATGGCACACACGACACTAACATGATCTAACAAAGATATATGCAATAACAAGAAAAATAGTTACCTGTGTAGTTCTAGGTTCTGAATTTTGCATCCTTTCAGAGAAGGTAGGTGTGTTTGTAAGTTTAGAAATTTTTCATAGAATCTACAATTACTATTCATTAAAGCAAAAAAGGAGAAATGTTGAATGAACTGTAACATGAAACCATTCTAGGAAATTTAATCTCAGCCTACCAAATTATAGATGAAGCCACATTGAAAAAAATTACTAAATGTTACCCTAATTTGTTCATTGGAGGAAGTGTTAAAAACCTTCAGTTACATGAAAGAAAAGAAAAAGATTGAGGCTTATGGTTTATTTGCAAAAAATTCCTGAGGATAGTGTGTGAAATAGGTAAAAGGTAAAGAATTTCTCAATCAAAATGGTTTGGATCAATGCCTTTCAGTTGTGGTGTTGGCAAACAGAATTGAATATATCATAGACTGCCAAAAGGATAAACAGATCTGAAGGAAGTGCAACCAGATTGCTCATTAGAGACAAGGAAACTTCTTCTCACATAGTTTGGGCATGTTGTCAGAAGGGGCCAGGCCTTGTAAAAGATGTCATGCTGGCAGAGAGACAGGGTCAATGAAAGAGAGGATGACCTTCAAGGAATGGATTGATACAGTGACTGACAGGGGGCTTGAGCATGTTGATGATCATGGGATGGCACAGGTTGTTCATAGGGTCCCTGTGAGTTATAATAGACTTGATGGCACCTAACAGCATCAAATAGTTCTGAAAAGTATGTGTGCAACTATGCTGTTTTTAGTTATATTTGAAAATAACTGTTACTTATCTTTTTGAGAAACTAATGATGGCGTTTAAAAGAAAAGGCTATTAGAATATACTTTAATTATTAAATATACAGAGCTCTCGTTTTCGTGGCCTACTGGCAAGAAGCTGTGCTGCAATCCCGAAGGCACACAGTTTGAGGTGGAAGAATGGGAAATCTCCTGTGCAATTAACTGCCTCTGAAAACCCACTGGAGGGTCAGCTATGGATCAGTTCCAATTCTGTGATACACAGCAGCAACAACAATGTACATTAGAAGTAACTAGACACTCTATGGAAAGTAATTTCTTAGTTTTCCAGTAAGTGAAACTGTTTTCTTCTTTACATTTTATTAGTATTGTTGTTATGTGTCATGTTTTGGAACCAGTTCCTAGCTGGCCCTCCATCTGTTTTTCAGAGACTGTAAACCAGATGGGAGAAGATTGCCCATCTTCCTCCTGAGGAGTAGCCAGTGGATTTGAACTGCCTGCCTTTGCATTGGCAGCACAACTCCTTATCCAGTAGGCCACCAGAGCTTGCTGGTTTGTTTGTGGTTTTTTTTTTCTATATTAGGACACACTTAGTTGTTAACTGTATCTGCACTCTGAGTCATCCTTGGGTAAAACTAGGCTAGATGTTCTAACTTAGTGATACATTTATTTTATAATAGTTTTAAATTTGTTAGATGTTGCATGTCTTTAAATATATACATGTATTCACTTACAGCAAACTAGAGAGAATTTTACACCAGTGTTTTTCAGGTTTCTAGTTAATCTAGTTAGGGACCTTTTTAAGTACAACATGAAAATGAGAATATCAGCAGAGCAAGTGAGTGTTTGTTTTCTTTTAGAAATATTGAATTGTGACGGTACAGAGTAAAAAAACCAAAACAGCCACAACTCTCTCTGCCGTCTAGTCAGAACTTACTCAGAGCTGATTGTCCAGCAGATTTTCAGAGGCTGTAAAATTGCATGGGAGGACACTGGCCATCTTTCTCCCCTATAGTAGCTGGTGGATTTGAACTGCCTTCCCTTGGGTTGGCAGTGCAATTCCTTAACCCACTAGGTTTCTGGAATTCTCTACCTAGTATACTGTTGTTAGGTATTGTGGAGTTGAGTATGACTCATAGAGACCATATGAACAATTGATTTGAACCCATCCTAGTTATCCTCACACACACTTGAGCCCATTGATGCAGTCACTGTGTCAGTCTACCTGGTTGAGGGTGTTTCTTTTGCTACCCCTCCACCTTTCCAAGCACAGTGTCCTCCTACAAGGAAGTCATACCCAAAGTATGTGAGATGAAGCTTTATCATCCTTGCCTCCAAAGAGCACTCTCTCCAAGACATACCTATTTGTTCTTTTGGCAGTCCATGGGCTAGTCAGTACTCTCCCCAACACCACAGTTCAATGGCATCAATCAGTAACTTTCGTTATGCAAATGATGCCATCTTGCTTGCTGAAAGTGACGAGAACTTGAAGGACTTGCTGCAGAAGATCAAACACTGCTTCTTTCAGTATGGATTGCATCTCAATGCCAAGAAAACAGCACTCTCACCACTGGACTGAGAGGCAACATCATGATAGATACATGCAGAAAATATTGAAACTGTTACTGACTTTCTCTTACTTGGATCCATAATCAATACATTTGGTACCAGCAGTTGGAATATCAGGATTTGCATTGCACTGGGAAAGTCTGCAGTCAGGGACCTCTCCAAATTACTGAGAAGCAATGGTGTCAGTTTGAGGACTAAGGTGTGCCTTTTCAGTCATTTGCTGTATATCTGAGAGTTGGACAAAGAATGAGGATATCAGAAAAAGAGTTGATGCCTTTGAGGCATACCATAGAACCCTGTTTTTCAGAGTGGTTCTTAAACTTTTTGGTGGGTCACAATATGATTGAGGCACTGAATACAGAACTTCCTTTTAGCAATATTCTTACTTATAAATATAAAAGTGCAATTGAATAGGGCTACTATTTTAGCCCTGGTTGAAAATCTCCTCTACTCTAGGAGATCCTAAGTAGTGACATGATGACAACAGTGTGCAGCTGAGATGGTAAGAATGGCACAGTATGAGTCAGGGTTTCATTCTTCTGGAGCCATCTTGAGTCACAGCCAGCTTGATGGTATCTACCAACAACAAAGCTGCACTGTATAAAACACATACAACAGAAATGAAAAATGTGCACATGTACCTTCATTAAAATTTAAACTGATTTTTAAAACTCTAATCAACCTAAGCCCACTCTAAAATGTTTGCTTGTGTTTTAGTATCAAAACCAATTCTACTCTGATGTTTTAAATACCTTTTTATTTTTTTTTTAAGTCTAAGTAATTTTACTTTTAGATGTTAACAGGTATTTTTTGTGGTGTGTTTTTCCCCCCCTACAGATATTTTCTGGCCAGTTTCTATACGAAGTATGACCCAACTCACTTCATTCTAAACACAGCTTCTCTGCTGAGTGTGCTAATTCCCAAAATGCCACAACTACATGGTGTTCGGATCTTTGGAATTAATAAGTATTGAAATGTGTTGAAACTGAACAAAAATTCCTACAGCTACTCAAGTTTCCTGGAAGGATAGAGTAGTTAGTATACTGCACTATTTCTGTGGCAGTGTGAAATGAGAATTGAATTTTCCAGTTGCTGGTTCTTCATATACTGTTGTGAAGTGCCAATTTTTCCTAGACGATGTCTCTCTAATGCCTCTGGTATATTCTTAGAATATACCAGAAAGAGAGGCTTTATGTGCCAGCTGGGCAGGCCCAGCTTTTAAGGGGCAAAACAGTGAAGGTGTAATAGATAGACCTAAAGCAAAAATAGATCTATAAGAAACTAGGATTAGCATAGTTTATAATGAATGGGCATTACGTTATAGAATAAAATTTCCAATCATTTAGTCATGGTTATTTTAAGCAGACTTACATGTAAACCATAATCATCTCTTTAAAAGTTTACTATATATTGTTTTTATTACCATATATATTCCTATGTTCTTGTTTTATACAATCCAATTTCTACTTTAGTGTATATTTTTGTGGTTTTGTTGACTCATAGATGAGGCCATTTTTACATTTACTAAATTAACTGAAGTCATGAAGATCTTCCTTTGTGACTGAATAGTGATAGAATATTAACATTAAGCTTCTGAGTCAGACTTCTGATTTTGGAATAAGCTGGGTTTTGCTGACTTTAGATATAAGGTTGCTGTCACTATGAGTCGCAAGCGACTCAACGGCACATAACAACAAACAACAACAACAAACCAGTTAAGATAATTTCTTTTAAGCAGCTAAAGTATATACTAATTTAAAGTTCTTTGCTTATTTGATTGAGGAAGTGAATTGTTAAAATCTGCCATTCTTTAGAAAAGAAAATAAAGCATAGCCAGCCACACAGCTAACCAGTGATCTGGCAAGAAACTGCTTCTTTCGCGTTAGAACCAAAGTAAGCCATTTTCAGCTGCTCTACAGTAAAAGATAACTTCTTTTTTCTTAGTCTATGTGCAACCTCAATATTTTGTCCATTAATATATTTGCCTTTTAACAATGTGGATTTTAATTTAGATAAACCTAAACTATCAAAAGCAACAGCTATATAGAAATTTTTGTGACTTTGAGAAGTTTTTTATAGTTGTTGCCTTTAATTACAAAAAAAGAATATATACTATTTTGAGAAGTGAATGTGTCAAAAACAGTTCTGGTACAGGACGGTACTAAAAAAAACCAGTAATTTGTAAATAAACTTGAGTTAAAAAACAGTTTGTTTCAATAAAAGAACTTTTGGGGATAATGATCATTGTTTTGTATTTTAAAAGTGTTGCATTTAGAAATCAGTTGTATGATACTGCCCCTTTGTGTGTTTGTCTGTTCCTATGTATTTTTTAAATAACTGGCAATCTGTACTTTAATAAAAATTTTTTCCTTGATGAAAGTTTCTTTCAGAAACCAGGTTTTGTCATTAAAATTGTATTTCAAGTTATTTTTAAGTGATGAATTTGTAAAATTAAGATTTTTAAATACTGGGGTGTTTTTTGTTTGTTTTTTGGCTTTTTGTTTTGGTTTTCTATTTGTTGTATTTGGATTTTGGGGGGGTTTTGGTTTGCTTTTCATTTTAAAACTTAAATAGCTCAGAATGCTATATTTTTATATAGACATCAGAGATGGAAGTCTCTTTCTGACTCAGGCCCTTTCTTCTGTTTTACCCACTTTCACTTGTTAGTGTTTGAAAATTATAGTATATTGGGGGCCTGTTCTGTCCTCATGGCAATCCCCCATGTACAGAGTATAACTGCTTCATAGGGTTAAAGAATGACCTTTCTGTAGCAGATCACCGTGTTGTCTTTCCTGTGAGCTTCTGGGTGGATTTGAACTGTCCACTTAATTGACAGTGGTCCAGCACTTAACAATTACCTTGAGTTGATTGTTGGAATCAATTCAATGATAATAACACTGTGCAAGAGATTGTTTTAAATGTTGTGGGTACAGTATGGAAATAAGACAGATCAAACCCCTCTTACATTCCTGTATTCCAGTTTAAAAACAGATAATAAATGAGTAAATAAATACATGTTTCATGTAATGTTAAATGTTATGAGGGAAGGGGAAATACTAAGTAGATGTAAGATAGAGGAACTATTTTTGAAAGATATTTCCCTGAAGATCATACCTAAGAAGGTGACATTTGCTTATAAACTATTGACATAAAGGAGGAAGCAGTGCACAGTTCTGGGGAAAGTGCATTCCTAGTAGAGGTAATGGCAAGTAGGCCTCTGAAGAACGTTTGAGGATTGTGTGCTTGAGAGAAAGAATAAGTCACTGAGGCTAAAAAGGAGGATAGTAGTAAATGAGGTAAGAGAACTAGGGAGGGGCAAAATCATATAGGTCTTGGTAGACCAAAGTAGTGTATATTTTATTCTAGGAGTACCAATGGAATTATTCAAGAAGCTGGACTTTGGAAAATAATTTAGTATCAGGATTGGAGAATGACTCATCAATATGTGTGTTATGCAGATTACATAACCTTCCTTGCTGAAAGTGAGGACTTGAAGCAATTACTGCAGAAGATCAGAGATGTTCATATACTTTGGGTATTTTTTTAGGAGAGGCTGTTCCTTGGAGAAGGACATCATACTTGAAAAGGTGGAGGGACAGTGAAGACCCTCAGCCAGGTGGATTGACAGTGACTACAGCAGTGGGCTTTGGTGTGTCAGGCTGTGAGGATGGCACAGGATAGAACAAGGTTGTTCATTGTATCTGAATGAGTCATACTTGAGTCAATGGCACCAAACAATGCAAAGTTTATACAGGTGATTAAAGGGATTTTCTTTTACACACACACACACATACATACATATATGTCACTGATACTGTTAAGGATAAACTGATTAGAAAATAGGAAGGATAGTTAGGACGCTGTTGCAGGCAAGAAATGTTCAAACTAAGAACGTAGTCCAAGTGTTGATAGGTCATAGTTGAGATGTGTTTTGCAAGTACAGTCACAAGATGCTGATAGGCAAACTGCCCAAACTAATTCAGTTGTCTAATCTGAAAAATGGGAATAGTATCTACTTCATAGTGTTATTTTGAGTAAAATGGTATTTGAACACATGGTTCCATTTTATCAATAATGTTATTGTTATACAATTTAAAAAACAAAACAGGTTCCAAAACCAAAATTCTAACATTTAAGTAATTAATTGATTTAAATATTTTTACATTTTACTGGACTAGCACTCTTATGTTTGGATATAATATTTACAAATTTTTATACCCAGAGCTCCACACTGCATAAAACAAAAGTGTATGTTTACCCTAGCTATAACTTTCTGTTATAATACCTTACCTGTTAAAACTCTTAAGCCTAGGACAGGAGAGGGAAGAATCTTGGGACAAATCCATTCAAATGGTAACAATTTTACATATAAGTGTTGTTAAGTTGTTCTATAACTGTATTCTTTTCCCTAAGTTCATAGAGTTTCCAGAGACATGTTGTTTAGGAAGTGGATGGCCACTCCTGCTTCCAAGCTTGTCTTAATCTGGGAGCTTCACCAAACACTCCACCATGGGGTAGCCATTATGGCATTTGACACACCAATGGCAGTGTTCAGCATCACAGCAACCCCAAGTTAGCTCAGTACAGCAAATTGACAAACCAGTGCTGTACCATTTAGAAGAATATTAATCCAAAACACAATTAACAGCAGGCTCAAGGGTCCAACCTACTTTTAAATACCAAGGCCCTCTACCAGTCCTTTTGACTAAACAAAAAGCTTCTGGCCACACCTTATTGTTAGCTAAATTGAGCAAATCAAATCAGCTCACACACAATTGGGAACAAAATAAAAAACCAAACAGTCCACACCTAACCCTCAACCAATAAAAAACAACCCACCTTCTCAATAAATATAAATACTCATTTCAATATAGGCGGAAGGAGGTGCAAGAATATGCTGAAGGTTGCAATTATTGTTAGGAACCAGGAATTATAATAATGCATTGCAATTGCATATCACAGATTACAACTCATAGCAACCCTATGAACAATAGCACTGAACCCTGCCCTATCTTGAGTCAATCTCATTGTGTCTGACACACCTGCCTCCATTGCCACAGTCACTGTGTCAATCCATCTCATCCATTCAGCCTTGGTCGCTGAAACTGAGGATGTGAAGCGTTTGCTGCTGAAAGTCTGCAGTCTTCAATACAGATTGCATCTCAACATCGAGATAATATTCTCTCCATTGGACCAATTGACAACATTATGACAGATAAAGAAAAAAATTGAAGTTGTTAACCATTTCATCTTGCCGGGATCCACAGGCAACACTCTTGGCACCATCAGTCAGGAAATCAAAAGACAAGTTGCTTTAGAAAAATCTGTCAGGTACCAAATCAAGAGTACAAAAGAGCAAGGATGTCAGTCTAGAAACTAAGGTGTGCCTGATCCAGGCGATGGTCTTCTTAGTTGTTTGCTGTGCATCTGAGAACTGGACTAACTAAAGTTGACAAAAGAATGCTTTCGAGTTGTGGTGCTGGAAGAGTATTGACCACAGCATGCAATGCCAAGAGAACAAACAGGTCTGGCCTGGAAACAGTGAAACCAGGTTACTCTCTGGAGGCATATATTTTGAAACACTGTTTCATATACTTTGGGCATGTTGTCAAGATGGAGAAGGACATCATGCTTGAAATGATAGAACTGTCAGTATAGGAGAGGAAGATCTTAGATGGATTGCTACAGTGCCTATGGCATAGATTTTTAAAAATTTTCTATTGATTTGCTTACTAATACATATATTTTTAAGGTTAAGTGAATGTTAGCTTCGCCATCTTTACGTTTTCTATTTTTCTTAAATAAGTCAGCCCCAGGTAATTCCTAGTAAACAGGGAGGACCAATTTACACTGACAGGAAGCACTTTTGTTCTCTGAAACCAGCCAAAACTTCATGAAGGAATCACTAGTTTCCATATTTCTTTAAAGTTTTAAAAAACAAACATGAAACCAAACACAAAAGTTGTTATTTCA